TTATTATGCCACTTTACACGGGAAATAGAACGCAGGCACCTATGATCAAAGACAGCTAGTCTTTTCATGTCTTCCACTCTCAGTGGCCAGGTCTCACAACCATAAAGGAGGACGGAGCGGACTGATGAGCAGTACACCCGCCCTTTGGTCGATAGTCGAACATCTCGTCTACGCCAGAGTCGGCGTAAACTAACAAATGCGAAACGAGCCCCCTGTATTCGTGCTGAGATTTCGTCAGAGATCAACCCGTTGGCACTGGCTGATGGTACTTCCCAAATAAGTGAAGCGGTCAACGTGCTCTACCACTTCACTTCCTATTTTTAAACTAGGCGTCGATGTAGTCCAGTCCTGTAACATCATCTTGCATTTGGCGGGAGCGAATCGCATGCCAAACATTCGTAGATTGCGGCTCAAGGTGTTTAGAAGACTCTGCATTTCGTCTCCTCGCCTAGAAGGACTATATCGTCTGCATATTCCAAGTCAACGAGATTATTCCCTGGTAGCAAGTCAATCCCTGAGTCGCTGAAGTCACCTAGGGTTAAGTCCATTAACACATCTATGATGAAGTTGAATAGAAAAGGAGATAATGGGCATCCTTGACGGACACCACTGGTCGTCATCAGTTCAGATGACAGCTCGCCGTAAGCCCTCACCTGGCTGTATGAGTACGAGTAGAGTGCCTTAATCAGTGCAATATATTTTCTTGGAATTCCCTTTACAGCCAAGCATCTCCAGAGAACTTCTCGATCGACAGAGTCGAATGCTGCCTTTAGGTCAAGAAATATAATGACTGTTGGACGCCGGTAGGAATTCCTATGTTCTAGAATCTGTCGGAGGGTGAAGATATGATCAATACACCCTCTTCCTGGTCTAAAGCCTGCCTGGCTCTCTCGTGTTTGTGCTTCCCGAGCACCACTCAGTCTACGCATGATTATTGAGCCTAAGACTTTAGATACTATATTAGTCAAGCTAATCCCTCTGTGATTATCACAGGAAGACTTGTCTCCCTTCTTGTATATGGGGATAATCAGTGACTTACACCAACCCGATGGGACTTCTTCTGATTCCCAGACGCTGCCTAGTACCTCAGTTAATCCGGACAGTAAGCTGTCTCCACCGTACTTAAATACCTCTGGAGTCATTCCATCAGGTCCCGCTGCTTTGCCTAGTTTCAGATTGGTGACAGCTTTAGTAACCTCAGTTAGTGACGGAGGACCTGTGTCTATATCCCATTCAGGGAGGTGTTGGATGCTCGGAAGGTTGAGCGTGGCTGTGGGCAAATTAAACTGCTCCTCATAATGCTCTTTCCAACGATCCAGTCGTCTATCCTGGGAGCTAATTATAGTGCCATTTTTCTCCGAGATTGTTTCACTGATGATTTGTCTTCTCCCACCCGTTTCCCTGATGAGTCTAAAGAGTTGCCTGGTGTTGCCTATCCTCGAAGTATTCTCATGCAGACACATAGAATGACCATTATTATCTTGATGGAATCATCAAAAGTTGGAATTCATGAGCCATTGGGTTGGGTTTCACTGACTGAATGGTCTACATGCTCAGCTTATAACTGGAAAGCCTTGGGCTGTAAAACCAAGTAGATGAGTATAGCTGAAGAGTCCCAAACCGGGACGAAACAGCTGTCCAGTACTCACAGGTTTTCTAATAGTCCTCTAACTGATTTCAATTCCTGATTAAAGTAGGAGTATACATGATGAACCCATAAATGGACTTAAAGCATAATCTGAGGTAATAATAACCAAATTAATTTTCAGTCAACGTAAAACCCCTGAAACTAACAGTGTGGATAAATGTTGACTCCATGTATATGTTCGATTCTTAACTAATGGTTTCAGTTGGGCCCACCGAATCTTCAACAGATATTTGGTACCATCAATCCACAAAAAGTGTGAGTGACTGGAGAATGCGTATCGAAAGTGCATCCAGAGTAGCATACATAGAAGTGATGTAGGTAATGGCACTCAGCATGTCATCTCATTAAAAATAATTTAAACAACGAACAGTTTGACCAAGTGCCACTTTAATTTCTCAAATCTTATCAAATGTTTACAATCGTGGGAAACAATTTCCTATTGGAAAAACAAACAAACAAACAAATTAAGTAGATAATATCCGTTGAATTATGCAGAACACGACCACATGTTTTAACTAAATTATTTAAAGACAAGAATACATCAAAACTATTTAATTTAAATCAGAGCAACTAAGTGTGAATAAAGTTGGAAAAATCTCGTTAATATAAACTACTATTGGCATCATTAAACTTCTATTATACTTAGATTAGCAATTACTAATTCTAGCAACTTTAGATTTCTACTTTATTTGTGCAGTTAAAACGAATGCAATCTATGTATCAAGCAAACACTGAAAATATTCATGAGTAATGTTGTATATAACATCGAGTGAACAACCAAAGTTACCGAAATAGGTAAAACAAGTGTCTCCTTGACCAACAACTAGTTTTAGTATTCAAGGTATGAGAAATTCCCATACCAAGTAGTTAAGATCACGTGAGTCTGCCTACTGATCTTATTTCATAACATCACTTCAAAGTTATGCACTTATGTAGAGGTTTATGCATACAACGTGAATTGACAATACACGTCAAAGGCTAACGTCAGTTAGCAACAAAACAAACCAAAGTATGGGAGAAATAACTGTGTGTGAGAAATGGTGAATAACCTTACGCAAACGAGACCGTTGACTAACAATTACTTAAATGATGAATAATTGCTTGGATATAAGGGATGGAGACAAGAGAACATAAGATTGGTGGAGATGAGTTAAAAAATTAAGGAAGAGGACCGACCACATAGAGTTTATTATACAACCACCCATTCGGAAAATTAAAATGAACATTAAGGTCACTGTAGTAAAAGAGACTGGAGAAAACATTTCTGAATGAAAGGTTAAGATTTTTCTTCATGGATTCCTAAAGCATCAGATGTATGAATATGTGGGTGAATTTCATCTCAACGGCTTTATTGCACTTTGTAGACGACTATGAATGAAGTCTCCCATGATGATGCGTAGGCAGAAGTAACAATGTGCTCCAGAGTCGAGCTGTTCAGTGTCCTGAGTTCTCGTTTTGACAGCCATGTTGGTAACTGTTAATAGGCGCTCCTAGATAATGTCCTGTTGGTACAGCCTATCTCCTATCCCTTATTTCCAAATGAGCATTCATCATTTAAGTAATTAGTAGTCAACCCTCTCGTTTGCGTAAGGTTATTCACCATTTCTCACACACAATTATTTCTCCCATACTTTGGTTTATTTTGTTACTAACGTACAATAGCATTTGACGTGTATTGTCAATTCACGTTGTATGTATAAACCTCTAAATAACTGTATAAGTTTGAAAGGAAGTTTTACTATCCCCTACAATATTATTGATAAACGAATTAGCAATGATAATGATAAAATATAAACAAGGTGTATTGAGAGAGAGAGAAAGGACACAGGAAAGGTGAATAAGCACTACAGCTGGTTATATGATGAAGTCTGTATTCAACTCAAGATAGACATTAACGCTCAACTTATAATAAAAGTACATCCAGCTTTATTGATTCCATCTTCATATGAGGTCAAGAGGCATAATTTTATTGTATTTAGATGAATTAATCAATATTCAGTTTACAGGCCTTATTTTACCCGATGGCTGTAATCCAACCACTTACAGAACACAATCAAAACGAACAACATACAATCCCATCCTTTCATTCGATTCTATCCACCATACCAGTGATTGTGACGTAACAAAATTTTGTCTTTACTCGTTATCGCATGATGTCTGTGAATGGATAACTGTCAATGTAAGCAATTGCTGACTGAGATATTTCTTTCTCTGGAATGCTCACAATGCGTCTAACCGTTTTGTAAATCGACGATTGCTTATCAGTAATTCTTCTGAATTTTTACTGTTTGAATCACGTGACCCTGATGTTTTCTTACCCAGAGGTTTCTGTTTTGCATAATTTGATGTGAATGAAAACCACAATGTTTTACAGATCGCGTAAACAGCTAACAAAACCTGACAAAATAAAAGGTGCTACTAAGACAATTTTGTCTTCACAGCATCTTAATTTATTTACGGCTTCTATTAGAACTTTTTACAATACAGTTTATCCCTTCTATCCAAACGAAGTGTTAGATATATCAAACCAAATTTCTTCCCTCTCAAATTCGTGGTTAGGCAATGGTGACAGCCAATCAGTCAACTATGAGTTACACGACTACCGAAACAATAAGAGACGAAACACTCATTACAAACTACTCAACTCAGTAAAACAGGGGACATTCTTTTACGGTTTTACTGGAGTTCGTGAATTTCCTGTTATTAGCCTATACTAACCAAAATAATCGGTTTCTTTTGAAATATGAGCTGTTTAAATGAAAGTCTCGGAAATACCTTTGATTATAACTTTCGGTTAATTGGCAGGTGGAGATCGGAGGGACGGATGTTGGGTCCGTGTCCTCTCGAGAGTATCATCACTTATTAGGATACAGGTACAAATCCCATACAGCATAAAATACACTTCTCTAGGGCGATAAACTCAATGAGAAAGAATCCTACTTTGACCTTCATAGACATTCGTTAACATCGAGCCGTCTATTAAATCTCAAGAACGACCACCTGCTTCTTACGAATACAAATTCGGACTGATTTAGAAAGTTTATCATTTACGTAAACTATTCCAAACTCACATAAGATTCAGATTTTCCACACTAATGTGGGTCAGAAACGAGCAATGTGCGTCACGAAAAGTATTTTTAACAGGTTTCATCAGACTTTTATCAACAACTCCACTCCCTGCAGATTTAAGATAAAATAGCCAGGAAGAATCAGTAACAAGAAGTTCTGGGAACGAACCAATCAAGAACCTACTGTTCAACAAATATGTTGAGGGGAGTGGAGATGGATGGGACACACGATGAAAAGACCGTTGGGCGACATCGCATCCAAGGTCCTCGAGTGGAACCCAGGTGAGAAACGGAGAGTTGGGTGTCCGACGGTGACATGGAGAAGATCGTGTGAGGAGGGAATGAGAACCTGATGGTAGTCATGAATCCAAATGAAGTAGACTGCAAAGGATAGAAAAAAATGAAGACATGCTGGTGAAGCCCTGAGTTCTACTCGGAACCCAAAAATAATAAATCACTTCACATAGTCCCGATTAACTTATCTTATCTGAGCATCATCCATTGAGGTACAATTTAAATAATGAATGTAGTTCAGACAGTGCGAAATATTTCGTGACCAAAAAGAAAGGTGTTTCACTAGTCACTTCCCCATCACGTAAATGTGTGACCTTCTTTGAGACACATTTGTTGCTGCATATGTGAATATTTTCAAGCTAGTAAACTAACATTTAGCTCTAGATAATCAATTCGTCACTTTTCACTGAAAATATAAGTTTAACAGTAGTCCTGAAAGAGTGGAAAACAAAACCTCCAGCTTCTAAGGCTCAGTTTCGTCACAAAATCTCAAGAGAGAAAATGAAGAAATAAGGCAACGTTTTAATAAATATGAATATTTTCTTATAAAAAAATGATTACATGACCATTGGAATCGGGGAGTTATATGGCTATCTGTTATCAATGATTCGTTATTTACTTGTAGATATGACTGCTGGCCACGGTCCCATAACCTGAAAAATTGAAATATACGATCACTGAATGAGATTTCAGAGGCAAATGTTTTTTTATCTTTATACTTATCTGTCACGGTAATATTATTTGTCATATAAAGTACAAACTAGGAGGAAACAGTTAGCTGTTTAGTGCTCTCTGATTTGCAATAGTTTTCTAGCCAATGTTGAAACATGACAAAATCTACCCTGGAATAAAGCACTCGGTAGCAAAAGTCAACAACTGTTTCAAGCTAAATTAAAAGCAATAGTGCATTAATTTTGATAAGACTGTCAAAGTTAAATACCCAATGAACAAAGCGAAAGGAGTGATTTCGTTAAAAACTCTACAACATTTTTTTTCAAAAAAGATAAATATGATTTAAGAATGGGAGCAGAAACGCTCATCTTTAAGACAAGCCCACTCTTCGTCTGCCGCTTATGAGATAAAATATCAGAAATCAGTGCAAAAACCTAAAGATCTCTTTGACCATCCATACATTCAGAGCATATTATTTAAGCGCTGACTTTCAACGTCTTATCGATAAATATTGCCTTTCAAATCATGCGAACCTAGGATTGAGAATGCACACGTTGCTGTTTCTTTCTCATGTACACACACACACACACATACAAATAATTATATATAAATGCGACTGTGCAGCTATGTGAATTCGCCGAAAAGGGTCTCTCTTCGCTGAACGTCTTCTCTTTTTCATACGACTCTTGGGATTTTCAAGCTACTTAGTGAAAATTACCAAGAGAAACCGACTATCTAATGCATTTACCCTCGCCTAGTCTACGATCTCACTAGTTTATTAGCTGATCCTAAGAGGGAAACGTCGGGGCGTGGGGCTAGTGACTCTACCCCGGAAAATCAATTTAATCACCAACGTACAGGAGAAATATCGAAAATAAACCTATTTTTCGCTAGAATCAGAGAAAGGCAATGATGCCACGGGCTAGTGAAAACCTTCGGGAAGCTATCATCCAGTAGATAAAAGCAAAAGTAAACATGGGGATGTAAGGCACTGTTAGTGCTGTTGATAAGCTACACTTTACCAGTTCTTACTGCGCGTTATTCAACTAGTTACCCAATAAATCAGCAGTCTACCTAACCTGTGAGCACTGACGACGGAACGCAAATTAAAGACTTAGTTGGAAACGAACTCGGGAGAGTAATACATTTGAGTAAACTAAAAAATCAAGATTATTCAGGCGAAAAAATTTAGAACTCAGTTAACGAATATGGCTGTGTTACAAACTCTGCGTATGTTGACAGCACAACAGAAAAGTGCGAAATAGAGTTGGAGCCAGTTCATATGTGTACACGTTATAACAAAATTTTAAACTAATGGAAGTTGCACTACAGGGACATCGAATATCTTCACAATGTCCGAAGCTAAGAAGGCTGCACAAGTTGTCGAATAGATGAAGAGATGTGCCACAGAAGTGCTAGGAATCTGTGAGAGCAGGTGAAATGGATCTGGACTAACCAAACTGTTAGCTAGAGAGCCAGTAATTTACTTCGGTCACCTAAACGACAAAGACAAGCACACCGAGGCAATGGCCATCATGTCACCAACATAATATAGAGCTCTTATCCAGTAGGAACCAATCACTTCCACAATAATGATATGGAGATTCAGTTCAAAAGGGTACGAAAGTCATGATTATCCAACACTAAGCACCTACAAGCAACGCAATAGAAGAGAAGGAAGATTCCTACAGACAACTGTAAACAGTAATGGTCAAGACCCCATACGGAGAAAAAAACGGCCCTGAGTTATATGGATGCCAAAGTGATACCAAACAATACATGAAGAGAACCTGAAATGAATCGAGATTTTCAGATGTCGTCTCAGATCACTATCTAGTTCAAGGGACCTTCAAGATTAATTTGAAAGCTACCAGGGAAGCTGTAGTTAGACCACAGTTCAATTTTAAAACTCAAAAACTGAAGGAGAAACCTATAAAGGATATTATCACAGTAACTACTGGGAAAACTCTGCAGATATTAAGCAACAGCACTGTAGAAACTTGCGTGGAACGACACTGAGAGTGGTCTGTTGATACACAACAGACTGTTGAGGAGGCTTGGATGGGATTTAGGATTGCGTCATTGCACCTTTTGTACCTTGGCCTACACCTCGAAAACTATCGCATAAACCAGCTTGGATTAGTAATGAGATAAAGGTTATTAAGAAAAAGAAATAAATTATAGGACGGTTTTACTGTGACTGGGAGGGATGATTTCCGGATGGAATGCCGCAAAATTAGAAACCTTTTTAAGTATAAAATTGACAAAAGTCGTATAGAGCATGCGAGACAGTTATTACTGGTTTGTGTGCACTATCCAAAAAGACTGCCCGTACATAAAACGCAGGATTAGAACTAGCAGAGGTATACCATCCCTCATAAGCAATACTGGAGAGGCAGCCGAGTCAGAAGAAGCAAAACCTGAGAAGTTCCCCAAATACTTATGCGATGTTTTTTCGTCTAATCGTACCACTTAGGGGTGTAGAGAGGTCACTGATGTAGTCACTAAAATGTCCACAATTGTGGTACAGGATGCAGTGGTTCCCAAACTACTGTCTGAGCTGAAGTCAGGTAAATCACCTGGACCTGAGGGAATTCACCCTAGACTGCCAATCTCCTTGGCGGATACAATACACATTCCACTTACGGATATTTTTCAAGTGTTTTTGACCCAGGTTAGGCTACCGAGGGACTGGAAAGATGTTTTTATAAGCCCCATCTTCAAAGATGGGAGCAGGAAGTTAGTATCTTACTACCGGCCTGTAAGTCTGACCTGCATTATAGCAAAGGTGTTAGAAAAACTCATAAGGGATCAGCTCTTAGCTCATATGGAAAAACATGGCTTACTGGCAGTGGAACAGCATGGATTCCGACCAGGACGAACCTGCTTGACAAACTTATTGTTAGCTAGGGGAGATCTGGTTGAGGCCAGGGATAAGAACCATTTACTGGACGTTGTCTTTATCGATCTTAGTAAAGTATTCGATAAGGTATCCCATTTATGCCTTCTTACTAAACGCAAACGTTTTGGATTAGACCAACGTCTATGTGAGTGGTTTAGTGACTACCTGATGGATAGGAGGCAGAAGGTAAGGGTTAATGATATACTGTCAGGGTGGAAAGCAGTACTATGCGGAGTACCTCGGGGAAGTGTACTTGGCCCCCTGCTATTCCTGTTATACGTAAATGAAGTGCCGAAAATTCTTACCTCATCTTCCTTACTATTTGCGGACGATATTAAGATATGGAAAACCGTAAATAGTAGCGATAATAGGTTGGTACTACAAAACGATCTAGACAAATTAGCCGAATAGGCTAACCTTTGGAGCCTGGAAATTAATTCCAAGAAAAGTGCGGTAATGCACCTAGGTCAAATGTCTTACACGTCGTACCCCATGGGGGACACAGAACTGCTAGATTTTAGGGGACAAAAGGACTTAGGAATTATTGTTAGCCATGACTTAAAAACAACGGCAAACTGTAATCGAGCCGCAGCTAAGGCTTTTCGAATGCTATGGGGACGTCGAAGGACTTTCAAACGATTAGACAAGGGTATGTTCCAAATGCTCTATGCGATATATGTCAGACCTCATCTAGAATACTGCATACAAGCGGTGAGTCCATGTTTCAAAAATGAGTTACATATCCTAGAAAGAGTACAGAGGGCAGTAACCAGATTAGTTAGTGGTATCTCACCCCTTCCTTATGATAAGAGAATGGACCATTTAAATCTCTTCCCATTATCATACCGAAGTTGACTCAATTTTGGCCTGCCGTATATTAGAGGTTGATTTAAGGATTGACCTTCCAAACCTTTTCTCTCCCTCTAGGATACATTTACGAGGTCACCACAAGGTGCTCAAACCGAGGTAGAACAAAATACGTGTGGAATTTAGATTCTCTCACAGAGTAGTCAACGACTGGGACTCCTTACCTAATACAGAAGTAACTGCCCCATCAGTGAACGCTTTCAAAGAGAAACTGGATCTCTTTTGAGATATATATCGCAAGAATTAACACAGGCATCAAGAGCCTTCTATCCTTATAATCTACATATAATACTGAAGACTTGTATAGCCGTTTGAGGAATAAGAATCCAGACAAGAAGTAACACTCTGCGGACACGCGGAAGCTTACTGAGAAGCGAGGGTTGCGTTATGATCCTGTCGCCGAAATATGTGACAGTGATACTGTGTCGCCTAAGAGCTAGAATCGGCCTCTAGACGTTACCCTTAACCTAAATAACCTCCACAATGAGGTAAACAAATTCAGACTTGAGAAAACGACGACGACCGACAACAACAGCGAGAACCACAACAGTGTTTATCAGACAGAATACACAGTAAATGGTACTTACAAAACCCTAGGGACATAGATCATTATTTAAAAAAAAACAAGTCTGACAGGTTGTATGATATCGCAATCCCTTAGAAATTTAAGCCATGATTAAATGAATCAAAAACGGTTGTTAGGTTATCATGTTAGTACATAAATACATCGTGAATTCACGACTAACCGATAAGCCCGTCGGTTCTTTCGAGTGAGGAGAACGGCTATCGTGAGGTGTCCTCACCAATAGCATAGCAAACGTAACAGTAGATATTCTAGATGCATAAATAGTTGATAGAACACCCTTAAAACAGCCAAACGCAACGTCTGATATGATTACAACATATCTCCAGGCTCATTATACAAAATCAACTACCTAAGGAAAATTAAACGAAAATTGCCCGCCTCCGTTCTAGGCATACAAGTATACTGAAACGAAAGAGCGGAAAGTTTGATCTGCGATAGCGTGTACTTTCACCAATGCAAAAATGGACAACAGTGGAAAAAGTCGAGTTCAATGTACAACATAATGAATAAAGTGAGGACGAGTGCTAGGAAAGACAAAACAAAATTTTACGACACGCTATCAGTTCAAGCAGAGCACCTCAGAACATTATATTAGATAACCAGGTCTCTACCCGGTAAGAAATCAGCACAGATGAAACCAATGAGAGGTAGCGAAGGGAACCTAATTACCAATGAGAACGGTGGGCTGGTCGCCTCAAAGGACTCTTGAACCGACCACTATCTTCAATACCACCTATAGCCACAAGACCGCGGTTAGCCGTGCTCTGATATTATTTACTAACCAATCTAAACCACATACTTATAAATTTAGCAATCAAAACGACTCACCTTTGGGACCGAACAGTGTCCTATAGCAGGGATTTTCACAATAAGGCTTCCCTTGGTGCTAAAGTGGGAACAATATGAAATTGGAATTAGTAGTAATCAATGTACTTTTGCTGGATAGTGCGCTAAATCAGGTTTAGTACATGGTTCGCTTGAGTGGTTTTTTTCCCACTAATTCAAATGATTCACTAGTCCACTGTTCAATGAGATGGGTTCACTAGTAAACTGAGCTCAGAATGAGCGCCACAAATTTCATTTACGTTTCCAGCTCTTTGACGGTGTAATTCATACATCAAATCTGACAGTATTGGCTCTTATCGAGAAGACTAACTGTTTTGTTAAGAGCAGTAAAAACTTTTGGAAATACATATGAAAATTACGTCACATAAGAATAATAGTTATTTAGAGAGATGTTTTGGGTAGCCTATTGAAATAGAAACACAAAAACAACCTAGTGACATTCTAAAACAGGGCTGTGACACCAAAGGTAAATACTAAATCTATCTCTTATTCACGTTCATCGTAATAAACAGACCACCAATTTTTAATCTCAAGTTTTTTGTGAATGTCTTTCCTATTAAGAGAATTAAAAATCTTCCTGAACATTACCAGTGTGCATAAAGACTCTACGAAAATGTTATTTTGAAAACTGCATTTAAAGATGAAATGAAAACTACTACCAATGGTAATAAAAATTCAAATAACAAGACTTAGATAACAGTTTATTATCCTTATGATATTGTCACTGCAAAGATGAGGATACAAAAACCAGCAACTGTTTGCGGCTCTTAATGATGATTGACAAAACAGACAACTATTCGCCTATACAGACATAGATGTAGCAATAACTAATGTTGTGAAACTACTTGCTACAAAGCCGTCTGGATTACTACTTAATTACACACATCTGAGTTATGAGGATTGAACTACACAGAGTGGATTAAACGACTTCAAGTGAAATTATTTGCATCCGTTCTATATTTCATTTAAAATGAAATGATAAAAATGAATTCGCTTACTTCACAGTGAGAACCTGGAGTGAGAGTCTTCTTGCATCTCTCGCACTTTAAACACGGACGGTGCCAGTCTTGACCAAGTGAACTGACTCGTTCAGCTATTCCAGTAAAAATCAACTGCTCACACTTACCGAAGTAAACTTCTTTATTGCATGCAGGACACTTCATTTTTTCTGAATGTCAGTAAAATCAAGAGCGAGCCAAAGCCCCAACTATTATCGTCTTAATACTAGCCACCTACGTTTATACTTTAGCAATTATATTGTTTACGAAGATAACGCTTTTAATTTACAATCACATGATCCATTGTTGTATGCCCTCAAGGTCACTAACTACCAATTAAAATCCCTATTTGAGACTTTTGTAGTCCAATTACAACGCTCTGTTGAGAGGGGGTGAGAGAATAGAGTAACTCAAAAAGTTGATTGGGAAATTATAGCCTGATATCTCTGCCCCCTAATAGTGTCTACACATACTCACAAGAGAATAACACACAACAACAAAAGTCGATCTTATACCGACGTTGAATTCACGCTAGAAGAGGTCCCTATTTGCTGACTTTTGCTATCCATGAAAAGACAATAATGTGTAAAAATCTTATTCCATATTAGATAAGTTTATTTCAAATATTAATATACAGATGACCAGTAGTTCAGCGAAGAGTTTCTTTTCGGCGAATTCATTTTCATGGCTGTACAATCGCAAATATATACAAAACAACCATATATATTTGCGATTGTACAGCTATGAAAATGAATTCGCCGAAAAGAAACTCTTCCCTGAACTACTAGTCTTCTGTCTATTAATGTCTGAATGGGGATATTTCAAATATCACACAATGATGTAGAATTATTTTTTTTATTTTTTGATTGCAGCTTGATTCCACACTGTATTTTTCGTACAGTATGGAATTTTCAGCATGAATATCGATAGCCCAAATTTTGCAGGCCGACCATAGATATCAGGTCTGCGTCGGCAGGGAATCGAACCTCGGATCATGTGCATGGTCGGCGAGAGTACTAACCACTGTGCCACCGACGCACATTTCGAGCATTAATTATTGCTAATAACCATATAAATTTAGAATGACAAGTGGGACAAATGAAATAATACTGTTTCTCATTCTAAATCAATTCTGTTTTGCAACATTAAATTCTATGTTTTCAATTTAGTCACACGGCTTCACAATTTGTCTTAATTATTTTTTTCTCTCTTGCCATAGCTGTTTCTTGCCACTTTCCATATCTCCGGTATAGCCGTAGCGTCATTTCGATTTCACGTGTAACGTGTTCAATCGATAAACTAAGGTTCCGTGGTCAAACCATCTCTCTCCACATAAATAAATTACTTTTTAATACTTCCACCGATTCCCAACTTATTTTGTGATTACATGCAAGTGAATTCACTGAAACCGCTCAGCTTTTTTCTAGGTTATTTAACCTAGCAAGGTCAATCATTCCAGGACTAGCTAAATTATTATATTTCCATAATCCATTTGACCTAAGTAATTAACCTCATAGACATTACAATTATTGTATTATTGTTTCCTTTAGTTCCTAGAGGAACATAGGGCTTTAGCCACACTTCTCCATTGCGTTCGGTCCTCTGTCAACGTTTTCATCAGGCTCCACGTCTACCAGCATGCTTTTACCTCCTGTTCGCATGACCTCCTCCATGTCACCCTCTCACTGACAACCAACTCATCACTTCCCTTTCGCGTTCCAATCAACCAATGGCCTGGCGTATGATATTACTTGATGATTCGTTTTTATCAAAATATGGCCAATCCATCTCCATTTCTTCCTGGATATTTGTTGCACAATTCGTTCCTGGTTGGTTGGTTCGCTCCCAGAGATCCATGTCGGTAGGAAAAGAAGGTTGCTTCTTACAGATTTCACCTATATATGCTGCCTGAATGTTGTCTGTTGTTGTTGCTGTCTCTGTTGACCAGGAATCTTCACCACCTCTATTTTCTCCATGCTCACCTTGATGCTTCTTCTTGCAACTTGTTGCTCTTCACTTGCATATCTTCCAGTTTGTGGGATATCAGACAGATATCATCGGTGAAGTCCAGATCCTCCAAGATTTTTGTGTGGGTCCATTTTATGGCTGTTTCCTCGCTACCCGCTGTGTTTCTGTCGCACTATCCAGTCTACCACAATCATGAAAATCACTGCAGATAGTAGGCAGCCGGCTTGTCTTACTCCCGTCTTCACTTCGAAGGATTCCGTGAGTTTCCCGTTGTGGATTACTTGGCCTACAGCATTATCGCACAACTGGTGGATGAGCTGTATGGATGTTGTCGGCACTCCGTATTAGCGAAGTAGTTTCCAAATCGCCTCTCGATCGACGCTGTCTGCCACTTCAAGCTCTGTTCAATGATGATCCGTAGTGTTCGATTTGATCAATGCATGACTTGTTCCTCCTGAATCCAGTCTGTCCCGAACGAAGTTATACATCAAGGGGGGGGCGTGTTTGACTTTCTCCAGGATGATGCGGTTTAGTATTTTGCTTGGGATAAACAGGAGCACAACGACGCGTGTATTCTTGCATTGGCTTAAGTCTCCTTACTTTGACAATTTGAATAAGTAGGCCTTCTTCCAATCCTCGGGTACCTTGCTCTCTTTCCACACCTTCTCCAGTAGTGGTGTCATCAAGTTTGCTGATGCCTCTGGGTCCATTTTCAATGCCTCTGCTGGGATTCCATCTGGTCCTGTTACTTCTCCAGTTTTTAGCATGTTGATTGCCTTCGAGACTTTTGTTCTCGTCGGGGGGTTGATGTTCACTGGTAGTTCTGCTTCCTTTATTGGTATTATTGGGCGCGTTATATTTATCTTTATTATTTGGATCTATTGGGTCCATAAACTGGCAAAGTTGATAACTGAGGGAGTCGGTTGATTTAAACGACACTATAATCCCAGCCTCACTGAGAATCTTACACATGGCCTATGACGTTCCCACCCCATAAGATGCCAACACAGTATTTCCATTCTATTCTAGCCAGGTAAAAGAATAAATCACTTCAAAGTAGACTAGTTTATGAACTATAACGTTCACATCAGTAGAACACTGTTGAGAGCGAATGAACTCCATGAAATCAAGGTTAACTGAACTCACTTCACTACGTGAAGGTCGATGTCACTAGTTTTTTCTGAGGGATGAATAAGCCTTTTCGAAAAACAATACTGCTATCAGCTATTTGACCAAATGCAATCAAGCATGATTTATACAACAACTTATGTAACCGTGACAACAGCTTCCCGTGATAATTTTAATACTAGGATTCTGGAAAATATGATAGAGAAGATTTGTAGCTCAGGTGGATAATTTTGATGTGGTTTTGTTCTCTGAGCTGGATAGTTAGTTTGCGAAGCTTTCATCACCTTACTGGGTGACATCTTCAGCGCATACTTCAAATTGAAGTGAGCTTTTAGGTTTCTCCACGAGTTTATTAATCATTCCTCCTGGTGACCTTGGACGTGATTGGTTGTTTATGTATGTTTTCACACCTTCTAGGTTACTTGTGTTGGAACTGATTGTTTCTGTGACTTGAACTTTGGCCAATCGTGTGTGAAGTTTCTTTCTTATTGGTTGATAAATTTTGTCTATCTCGATGTGTCTATTGATTGATGATTCACTGGAATGCCAAGCTTCTAAAAATTCTCTAGCATTCTTGTTATTTCCTTTGTCTAATATTTGAACGTTGTCCCAGTCGAATTGATGTCCGTGGTTGTCTGTGTGTAGTGAAATGAGGGAGTGTATATCATGTCTTTTGACGGCTAGCTTATGTTCGTGGATACGAAGACGAAGGGGACGTCCACTTTGGCCAATGTAGTGTTTTTCACAGTTGTTACAGTTTATTTTGTAGATGATGTTGGTTTTGTCTTCTTTTGCTGTTGAGTCTTTTGGTTGACATAGAATTGAGTGCAGCGACTTTGTTGGTTTGTGTACGACGTCAATTCCTAAAGGTTTGAAGAGTCTTTTAGTGATTTCTGAGATATCCTTTATATATGGTAAGGCGATTTTCTTTGTGTTTTCCTTGGTGGCTTTTGTTTTGGTAGGTTGGCTTGGGGGTATATGTCTCTTGATGAAATTCCGGGGATATCCATTCTTTTGGAAGACGTCCATGAGATACTTTTCTTCAATTTTTCTTAAGGTGGGAGTGCTGCAGTGAGTCCTTGCTCTCTTGAATAGTGTTTGTATGCAGTTCCTTTTGTGTGCTATTGGGTTGTTGCTGTTGTAATTCAGTATTTGGTCTGTGTGAGTTGATTTCCTATAAACTTGAGTTTCTAATTCTCCTGTAGTTGTTCGCCTGACTAAGACGTCCAAAAATGGTATTTTGTTCTCGGATTCCTCTTCTCTTGTGAATTTGATGTCGTTGAAGACGTTGTTTATTAAGTTGTGAGTTTTGTCTAATTCGTTTCTTTTGATTATTACAAATGTGTCGTCGACGTAGCGTATCCAAATCTTGGGTTTGATCTTTGGTAGAATTATGTTTTCGAGTCTTTGCATCACTGCTTCTGCAATCAAACCTGATATTGGCGATCCCATGGGTGTTCCTTTGACTTGTTCATATATTTGGCCGTTGAATTGGAAGTATGTTGTTAGGCATAGATTTATGCATTCCATCCAGCTTGTGTGTTGCATTTTTGATTGTTGTGGAAGTTGTTCGTCGTTGCTAAGTAATTGCTCCATGGTTTCTTTTGCTAGTTTTTGTCCGATAGAGGTATATAATGCTGTCACGTCGAAGGATACCATTATTTCTTGTTCATCTATTTGGATGTCTCTGATTTTCTCTAGGAATTGGATAGCAGAGTTGATGGAGTGATCACAGGATTCCGTTAGGTGTTTTAGTTTTCTGTATAATTCCTTGGACAAATTATATGTTGGAGTTCCTGGGAGTGATACAATTGGTCGTAACGGGATATTTGCCTTGTGTATTTTGGGTCTGCCGTAGAATCGAGGTAGGACTGGTCCATTGGATTTCATTCGCCATTGGTCTTGTTTTGTGATCTGTCCAGTTTTGCTGAGCTTGTTTAAGGTCCTTTGGATGCGGTTGTCCAATGTTTGTATGGGATTTGTTGGGAGTTGTTGATATACATCTTCATCTTTGAGTAGTTCTTCAGCTTTCTTGGTGTATTCTTCTCTGTCCATGACTACTGTTGTTCTTCCTTTGTCGGCTGGTAAAATGACGATGTCCTTCCTATTTTTCAGCTTTTTGAGGGCCTTTAGTTCTTGAGAGTTGAGTTGTGTGTGTTGTCTTTTCTGTTTGACCATTGGTACAATTGTTTGGCGTATCTCTTCCTGTGTTTCCTCGTTCAAGTTTGATGATTTGAGTAATGATTCAAGGGCAGCGAAGAAATCAGTTTTTGAAGCATCTCCGGTGTTGTAGTTTAATCCTTTTTGTAGTAGTTGTTGTTCCATTTTTGATAGTGGTTGTTTTGATAGGTTGACTACGCAGTCTATGGGCGTATTGTCTGGTTGTTGTTTTCTAATCTTGGCTAGCTTGGTTTTGAGGACTCTTCGTCTTTGTTCTCTGTGTTTTCCACTTGACAGTGAAATTGCGGTGATCAGCGTTGACAG